TTTTGAATTTTCTCTTTTTTAATAAGACTTTTGTAAGAAGATATTTTAAGAGTATATAGTTTATTCCTCATTTAACTTTTTAAATTTATTCATTCATGTCATTTTGATTTATTCGTTTGTAAATTATTTGGAATCATGGTTGCCAGTCTTTTTTGGTGGGTTATAATTTGTTACAGGTGTTATTTGTGTTGCTAAGAATGTGTCCTGAATTTATTTTAGGAATGGTAGTCCCTTCAAGTTGTCTATGTCATTTTAAAATATTTCTCCCACTCTTTGAGTATTTCCTTGATTTTTAGCACAAAGTTATATTCCTGATTTGGCTTGTACTTCCTCTGTCATGGTCATGAACCATTTCTTCAAAAAGCCTCAATCCTCTCTCTGAGCAGAGAATGCTATTTAGAAGTCAAGAGTTGGGAGACAAGTGTGTTCTCTACTATCAAGATATGCTGCTCTTAAACCCTTTCAGTAGATAAAGATAAGCAATGTATGTGTATTTGTAGATATCATTATACACACAAACACACATTCACATTTCTTTCTTTCTGTTATCACTAACTTTCTATCTCAATGTATTCACATAAATGACTCTAATCTTAATCCTGAACTAAAAGTTCATTTTAGTACTTTGCTTTAATACACGTAATACCCTGTTCCAATGGTAAGAAACTTGATCACATTATCATATGCATGTTTCCCACTGTCAGTAAATCCTCTTTGGGAACTCTGTCTCCCCACTCTGCTGACTTGGTGACCCCACTTGGCCTGTGAAACATCATGCCAGGCCACTTCCAGGCACAGATGTTAACACCCCGTCTGGTGCATAATGTACCACATTAGCCACTCCCCAATGTAAGGTGGACCCCTTTACCTCATTTGGGCTCTTGTAACTCTATTCTGGGTTATAAGAACCCCAATATATTTATAATCCAGGATATCTACATTATTCTGGAATACCTAATAACTTTAAGATTGCATGTTCCTCCTAAGAATCCATTTGGATCTATAATGGTTTATTTCAGGATTGTGCTTTGCTCTTACAACATGAAAGAGTACAGTTTAACATGATTTTTCTTTGATTCTTAGGAGAAATATGTAAGCACTTGATAGTTAAGTAGTTTACAGAAGTCTCTGTGTAGCCATGTTTGTATCAGAGAAAATAGATTTTAACAACAGCGACCTACACCCACAAGTCTTTATAGTACATCAATACTTTAAAGTATATATATTATTTCAATTTTGCATTATAAAATGAATCTCTGTTTTACCAAAATAAACCATTATACCCTGAGAGCGGTCCAAAAAACTGCTTTCAATCATTCAAATATTCTTTCCTTTGGACTGTTTCATGTCTTTGCCTATAAAACTTGGTTCAACAGCTAAGCTTAAAAGCAAATTTCTGTGGCTTGACTGACATTTTATTATCTGCTTGAATAGCAGCATTAAAGAGACTCAGTCCTCTCCAACAGACCCTTGTGCCTACCACTTGTCTCCATTTCCTAGAGCTCTGAAACTTCTTGTGGCTAAACCTGTCCATGGCAGATTAGTTATGATAAAGTGTGTGGGGAGGGTCCATCTTACAGAATTAAATGAGATGGTGCCTACAGAGAATTTAGTGCTATGTTAAGTGGAAGACATGTGCCTTTAGTTGTATTCTTGTTGCTGAGATGCACTACCTGACAGCCACAACTTAGAGAAGAAAAGTTTATTTTACCTCATAGTTGTAAGAGTTTTAGTCCATACACAGCTGGCTCCAAGCAATGGTGGCATGACAGAGGGGCACGGCAGAGGAAAATGATTCATGGCAAGTAGAAAACAGAGATCAAGGGAGGAGGAAGGTGGCCCATTTTCTTCAATTCTGTAAGGTCTGAGAAAGTTATCAAGTAAATTTAGATAGCTGCTTTAAAAGCAAATTCATTTTTCATTCTAAGATCAGCATGCTCCTGAATAACTCAAAAGAGTGTATATATTTAGTTTCCAGAGTTCTGCTTCAACAATTGTCCTAAGAACAAAACTGCTAAAACTAATGTCGACTGTAATGCATATTATGATTTCTTTTCAAGTTTTTGATTGTGTTCTCCAGTTTAGATAAATGTCTTTGGAAGCTCACTTGTTACAGCTTGGCTCCCCAGCCTGTGGCTCTATTGGGAAGCACAGTACCTTTAAAAGGCGGAGCTTAGTGGGAAGTCTTTGGTCATTGGTGGTGTACCCACCAATGGAGGGGAAATATAAGGACACTGGCTCCTTCTTCCTCTTTTGACTTCTGGCCAGGAAGTGAATGGTGTCCTAAAAGCAATGGGCCCACCCCAAAACAAAGTTGAACCATCAAAATTGAGAACCAAAATAAACCTTTTTTTCCATTAAATGTATTTATCTAGGTATTTATTACAATAAAACAAAGTTGGCAAATACACTGTTGACAAAGTTAACATATTGAAGGATTTAAACAAATTCCATTTATCCCAGTGGTTTTTAGGTAGTGTCTTTTTAATGATTAAAACTATAGTATCTAAGAAAATAATAGAAAAGAAGCAGTAAAACAAATAGAGTAGGACAAAATAAAGGTAATTTGTTTGGAAATGCATTTGTCAATCACATATTGAGAAATACTAAAGCAACTCCTATAACCAAGAAATAGGGTGTACTTTCCAGGTCTGCACAAGATGGAAGGATTTCCAAGACACGAGAATTTCAGGGATGAAATCAAGATATGCTCAAAGGCTGGGCAAGCCTGATCAGCATCAGAGCTATCATTGAAGGATTATTCCTATTGTGTCTCAGGTAGGGCGTAAGGTGGTGTATGCCATTATATGCTCCTTCGCTCCAGCCATCAAACCTATAAACTATAACCTAGTGGATATTGCAGAGAATTTTTTTATAAAAGTTCTTTTGCCAGACTGAGTGGTCAGGAAATGTCCCTAAGGAAAATTAGCAAGCAGCACATGTCTGACAACAGAATCATGTTAGCTATAAGTACTATAGTTTCTTAATATCCAATCACAGTAGTAATCAATGAATCTCCAGAGCCTGTGGTGTCATCCTCAGACCACTCCTAGCTTGTCTCTGCTACTGTGGCTTCATCTTGGAGGCATTTTTTGTCCTGTCTGGAATATGCTGGCAACCTGGGTTTCCATTTTCTTTTGGTAGATGGTACCCTTGACTTCAGTAAAGTAAACCTCAGCATTTATTTTTCACCCCAATAATCCATTCATTCATTGGTTTACTTATTTAGTAAGTATTTATTAAGCATCTACTATGTGCTAAACAGCATGAACAGTGTTAAGGATACAATTACAGACTTTCTGGCAGCCTCCACTGTCACTGAGTTTTCAGCTGAGTGGGCTGAACAGAGTGATCCCAGGTAGCGTCAGAGGACATAAGTGATCACAGTCACATTGCATAGCTAGATTTCCCTTTGCAGGCTCCTGTCTATCTCTGCCTCACTGGTCTGTCTGCCTGCCGAAGCCTGTTCCTTATGGCGTAAGGTGAGAGTTTCCATGCCCTGTGCTTTCTGCTTCTGTTACACCCACACCTTTGTCAACACTGCCTTTAAACATAAATCCTCCATGCACTTTTCTATTTGAGTGCATTGTCTTCTTCCTGTTGAGACCTTGATGATTAAACTAAGTTTAATTTTGGTGTTTTACAAGGCTCCATTCCACGTGCGTTCTGGGTCATATTCATGTGCCTTGGGCTGCCAGATTCCCTTTGGCATTTCTAGTGTCTTCTGAGTATTTGGAACATCTGGTGTCCCTCGGCGATGCTAAGTGGTGCTTCCACAGCCACCACTCCACCCAGGTGTCCAACAGCTGCCAAACACTCCAGGTGCCAAACCAGTACTGCAGGACATGTTGGGGCTGACTCACCCAGCAGGTGCATCGCCTTGAGGCCTCTAAAAATCCTTTTAGAGGTCTATGAAGATCTTGTCATTGCTTTCAAAGTTGGAGGTAAAGTAAACATTTAGTTTAAAGAAAAAAAAATTATAGTATAATGATGATATATTTGTCTTTGTGCCAATTCAAATATATATGCATTTATGCATGTATGTATATCTTAATCCCTCTTTCTCCATCTCTCTTTTTCTCTCTCCCTCCGTCTGTAAGAAAGGACCCCTGAAAACAAAAGTGCCGATAGCCCACCATATAAAAGTCATAATACAGCCTGGCTTTCAGTTCTCAAAATGACTGTGTGAATTCTTTGAATAACTAGACACCATAGTACCAGTTCTCTGAATATCCTACTTTTATTCAAGTATCCTTGCATCCTGATTTTCTTATTCTTCAGCAGAAAATGGCTCGTGTTCAGCTTGTATATAATGATGTCTTATAGGGCACCGTTGATAGTGCTTCACCCCATTTACCAAGCCAATTCTGAATAACTGCAGGCTCTGGATGGGACCACCTATGCCACATAGGACCCACAATGATGTAAAAGGAGCTGGATGATTGGAGAGGGTCACAAGTTTACTGGGATCATGTGCCCCAAAGCTGGGGGAGGGAATCATGCAGGGCTCACAGAAGTAGCATCTCAGTTGTAACCCATAGTTATGAATAGGATTGGGTCAGAGGAGGCAGCTCAGAGAAGAGGGAGAGAAGGGAGAGTTTAAACTCCCGCAGTGAGTGAGTACATATGGATTGGGAATCTGCAGAGGATGGATGGTTGTAAAGATTTGGAGTTGAATAGCTGGGCCAGCTTATAAGAGGTATTGATATTAATTTGGACTTAAACTTGAGTGAAAATTGGTTTTGCATTTGTAGAAAGATTTGTAGTATTTATTAACAATCAATATAAATTTATTAATTTTGTAAAAGGAAAATTAGGGAGAAGGACCTTTTAATTTCTCCAAAACTAAGTGGTTGGGGAATTGACTATCCAACAGTGTGTACCAGCAGCGGTCCAGGGAAGAGGTGAAAGTACTTTGAACTTGTGACGGTGGCAGGGGTGAAGGATTGTTGACAGATCGGAGGATATTTAGGAAGTCAGATAAGCAGGACACACTGATGGGTTGGTGCTGGGTGGCATGAGAGGAGAAGGTCAGTGCTGACGCCTGTGTGCCGTGAATTGGCATGAGAGGAACTGAGAAGGCGACCAGATGGACAGAGATGGGGACAAAAGGTGGTGAAGTGGAGAAGGTAAATTCAGTTTTAGGCAAGTCAAGTTTAGGGTGTCTTTTAGAATCCAAGTGGAGCTGTCTAGCGCAGAGTTCATTTGTGATTATTTACGGCACTTGTGACCTGGTCCTTAATCAGAACATTACTCCTTTGAGGACGTGTTCCATGTTTTTCACAGTCTTAAGGGGGTGATTGCATAGCTTTTCAAATGGTTGGAACTGTAGTTCTTGGTGACAAATACAGTCAGCTTGCCTCGGGAGGGACTGCCAATAATTCTACTCTACAAGAAAGAGACAAACTTCCCTGCTCTGGGCCCTCCATCCTAGCATTATCTCAGGTAATCTCTCACCCAGAATCCCCAAGGAACAAGGCCTTTTGTTCTTCCAAAGATAACCCACTTTCTGTTTCTAGAACTTGCTTGTAACATTATTAACCCTTGGCTTCCAATGCACTTCTACAAAAGCCACACGCCATGATCCAATCAGGCCCGACTCTCAGGACTCTGCTCTATCTTCTCTCCTTGGCACCAGTTTAGCTGCTCTGACCTGTTTTCTCTCCACCCCCCCCCCACAAGCTTCTTCCCTGCTTTGAAACCTTCACACAGGCTTTTTTTCATTTTTTTCTTGGCTATGCTCTGCCCATCCTATAGAACCAACTTAAATGCCACATTCTCAGAAATGTCATCCTGCTACCTCCTCCTTTTCTAAGTTAGCTCTTATTTATTTTTCTTTTCTGTCGACACACTGTTCTTTTCTATAAAATCACAGGTTACACACAGAAACTGTATATTCATTTATGTATTTATCTAATGTCCATCTCGCCAACTAACTTATAATCTGTAAGAGAGAGGGGCTGTGCCTAATACAATCTCAAGCAATAATACCATCTTTATTCAATTAATGAATGAATGAACAAATAATGAATGAATGAATAACTGGAATGCCCTCTTTGAGCAGAAAGATATGTGAGACCTGACTCTATACTTGGTATCCAGTAGTGAGAGATAATTCTGATGCAGTGTGACATCTTTTCCAGTAAATCCATTCACAAAATGATAGTGAGGCACAGTATAATGTTCTACTCACTTGCCCTGGTAGTATTGAGAAAGAATCCAGACAAAGGCAACATTTAATTTTGTTCTCAGTGATACCAAGGAGTTCACTGGGAGGAATGTTAAGAGGGTACACAGACAGAGCTCACATTTTGTGTGAAGCTGTGTGAGAGAACACAGAGCTTTCTGGGCAGCAGGGGAGTATGTGGCTTGTCTGACCATGGCACAGAATCCACGTTCACCAGGAATGGACAGAGGTGAGGCTGGTAAGAGATGCTGGAACAATCTGAAGAGCCCATGCTGTTTGTTTAGGTTTCATCCAACAGAGAATGGCAAGTCTTCATGGATTTCTAAGCCAGAGAGTAATGTGGTCAGGTTATGTCTCAGTAGGATTACCCTGGCAGCCAGTGTGTGGTGTGTGTGTGTGTGTGTGTGTGTGTGTGTGTGTGTGTGTGTGTGTGAAGGAGAGGACAGAGAGAGAGATGCCTGGATTCAGGGCAATGGTGAAGGCATCAATGACCCATAAGTTGTTGTGGCTACTTAATTATTAGCCACTTATCACTCTGAAGTCATTTCTAACTCTAAATTTCTGTGACTTCCATTCATTCTTATTTGAGCTTCAGAATTAGGGTAAAAAAATACTCTTAAAATGTTCTTGATTTTCTAAAAGTAAACTCAAGCAATGTCTCTTACACGGAAGCACAGACAAACTATGTTTTATACAAAAGTATGGCTTTTATACTTTCCCAGAGTGGGACCTAAAATATCATGAGAAAAGATCTGATAGGTTTCATGGAATAGGGTAGCAAAGTGAACACATTATGGTAGTTTTCAAACAATCAGACAATCCTAATAATGCTGTTCCACTGTTTTCTAAGAGTTTGTTTTAGGTGATGCTATTGCAAAATAAATATATAAATAAATAAACAATCCGTATTCATTTTGAATCAATGAAAGAAAAAGACAATTTTATATCCCTTCTTTTTCAGTATTATTAGTGTGTATTTTTGTCATGTAAATTTACTCAAATTTAATATCAATCAGTGGATTGATTTAGATGTAGATTACTTGTAAATTACTAGAAGGCTAGGCTGGAATAGGAGGAGGTCATATACACTGAATGGTAGTTTACATTAATATTGAATGAAATTGAAAACTATGGAAAGAGGGCTGAGAAACACGTGAACAAATGAACCAGTCCTCCAGTGAAATGAGTATGTGTGAATTTGGGAACATTCTATGTTTTTATTAGGTCGTTGTGAAGTCTTTTCCTAATTGCCTTTCATGATGGATTTTAAATCACTGTCTTGTCACTGAGACACAATATCTGATTCCTGCAGGTTAAAAGAGGAAGGGTTTATTTTGGCTTGTGTTTTCCCTCTGAGGTCAGCTGGCTCCAAGGCAAAAAGCAGAGGGGATAAAGACTTGGGTGGAGGAAAGCTCTTCATGTCATGTTAGTGGGAAGGACAGAGAAGGGAGGAGTCAGGAAGGGAGACACCCACAGTAACCCACCTCTTCCAGCCAAACCCCTCTTCCCTACAACAAATCAGCTGCACTGGGAGACACCAAAGTTGAAAGAGATCCTCACTCATCACAAGAGATGACCCCTCTGAAGTACTGTCCAACAGCAGCCTGGGGAAAGAAAAGGCCAGAGTGTGACCAGCCAAACTCTAACTCTTGTGAAGCTTCTGAAATTTCCTTCTCCTTGCCAACGTGTTATTTTTCTTTTTTTGCAGTAAAACTTCATGGAAAAAAATATGTGAAGCCATAACAAGGAATTTGAAAAAGTCAGGGGAAGGAGATTATCCACAGACTTTAAATAGTAATTTGTTGATTTATTTCACTCCCAGAAGAAGAAACATTTCCAAGAATAGTTTCCCTTATTTCCAGAAAAGCCTTTATATATACTTCAAGTGTCTCAAGAATCTTATCAGTACTCCCAACACAAACATTGTATTAAAAATAGTTTCAAAACTATTTAAAGTGTGCAGCACATGATCCTCCCTCAACATTCCTCAATTCTCTGCAATAGTTTTTACTAAGAGAGATAGAAAACAACAGACTAATTGTGTTACAGAGTCTGACCTTGGAATCATGGCCTTCTGAATAATTTTAACCTATGCCATGTGTCCAGTTCCTGCACTAATTAATTATTAGCCACTCACTGCAAGCAGCTTCTAGTCCTGATTCTAACTCCAGCTCTCATGGGCTGAGTCATCTGATACGAAGATGTTAATCTTCCTCCTCCATAAAGCAGAATTTATTTTATAATATTCTATATAATTTACGCTGTAAGAATGAACTACAAACAAAACTAAATGTGTTTTTCAATATGTGTGTATGTGCACATGTGTGATGATATAACTACAGATTATTTTGACAATTGTCTTATTCTTTTCCAAACATGCTAGCCTACCACTGAAAAATTTACAAATTATCTATCACACAAATGATGCACTGTATACTTTTTGCTTTCCAAGAACCCCTGCATCTTTGCAATCATTAAATCTAAGTTCAAAACTTCTACTTGTGTGAGCCAGGAGTGACAATTCTTAGTATACCATGGTAATTAATCCCTCCCCATATTAGTTCGGTGACTCTAGGCATGTTATATAGTCCCTCTGTGTCTTATTTTTTTCATTTAAAAAAATAATAAAAGGACTTTCCTCACAATATTATTATTACTATTGGCGAATGTTGTTGACAATAGGAACTAGGATGATTTTCAGATTTCTGTAAATATGGACTCCAGGATAAAAGCAAATATAAAGGAAAGGTCAGAGTTAAGATGCGTTCATTTGAGCTGCCTACCAATTTTATTAGGCATGGAGGATGTTCAGTGCAGATTTGAAAACAGCACTAAAACTAAAGTTTTAATGGATTTGGAGTCCATTCTCCTGAAAAGGTATTGCATTGTGTGGTTCAGATAATACTGGACTGTTGAAGGCAAGTTTTGTTTTTGTTTTTGTTTTGTACCAGGGATTGAACTCATGACCTTGTGCTTACCAAGCAAGTGCTTGAACCACTGAGCCCTGAAGGTAAATTTTTAACTAACTTAAGCTTGTACACTGACAAATGAGGACATAGTATACTATGTTTTACAATTTGTGGTCAAGTAGCAGTTACAATGGTGGCCCCCAATGAATCAAATGGCCCCCAATGAATCAAGTGTGCTGTTAGGTCTACAATTGTGTGGTTCCTTCCTCCTGAATCTGTGACTCACTGTAATGAATAACATTAGAAATGAGCCTACACTACTTGTAGGCCTGAACTTTATGATGTCTCAGCAACTTCTGTTTTATGTACATGAAACTTGCTTAACAAATCTGGCTTTGGAGCAGGAGAGAGAAAAGAAAGAGGCCACGTGATGAAGAAGATGCCTTGAGATAAGGAGGGAAAGACCAGCTGGTCTCTGTTCCAACACCTGGTGACCAGTTAAGTAAGTATATAGGTATTCACCCTCCAGACTAGATACAACTGAGTCCTTCCAATCCAAAGAATTGTAAGAGAGGAAATTTTAAAAAGAGAGAGGGAAGTTATTTTTAAGTCACTAGGTTTTAGGATTGTTACACATCAATGGGTAATCAGGGGTTGAACCAAGACAATCTAAGTCTTCTGAGATTTGGTGTAACAGTCTTGTAAAGCAAGGAATTCATACTATAAGATTTTGCTCTTGCCTTTCAGAAAAACTTGATATAGAATGCAGACTTGATAGTCTCTTTTTTCAGTTTGTTCTGTTGTATCACTTGCATAAGAATGAACAATGAACACAGACTAAAACTTACTGGATATGTGATATTAACAAGAGCTTTCTTTTGTTTTTCTGTGAGATTGATCTACTCAGTTTTCCATCCACCCATCCATCCATCCATCCTTCCATCCATCCATCCATCCATCCACTAACCTACTATCCATCAGTTTATAGCTTACTACTAATGAACTAGCATACGATTTTGTATCAAGCATCTTTTTCACTCTGTGATTTTCTAGGCCACTGAGGAAGTATAGGGAAAGTAGAATGAAAAAGCTGAGGCTTTGCACTTGTTACCATCTTAATTTTTATTCCTTGTAATTCTCATAAGGGAATTTTTTAAGGCAACAGTGTTATTTTAACGATTGAATGTCTAAAACTTTTATTGAGTTTTACCTGTTTGACAAACTTCAAGACAATAGTTGCAATGTTCAGTAAATGAACTACTTCCCAAGTAAGTGGAATTTAGACTGTAACAACATGTCATCTTTCATGCCAGCTACATTTATCTGGCATGCATCTTTGAGGTAAACCATTTATTTTTCTTTCTTTGGCGTGAAATCCTATACGTTTGTGGGTTCAGTTTTAGATATAATTGTAGAACCGTAGGAATGTTATTCAGTTCTGTATTAGAATTATATTTGTTTGGGAAATGCTCAGAAGTCTGTCTCATGGCATCTGACAGCTTGTCAAGGCTTGTTGCCATGGAAAACGTTTGTGATGTTATATAAATATATTCCTAGGTCATGAGTTACCATGTAGTTTTTGGACATTGATGCTAAGAGGGAAATGACTAAACATATTTTCTTAGAAAAGAAGAATAACAGTAAACAAACAATAATAACAAATGATAAATAAATACCAGTAAAATGGTGCTCTATTTTCTTAAGCATCAGGCTTGTGTTCTAACAAGCCTTTTAGCTATAAAAGTTCATTTATTACAGAGGCTTTGCCTCCCTTAAAATATTATTACCAGTCATTTTGCAATATTAATGGTTCCACTATTAATAGACTGAGAGACAGGGGAGTTGTTATGCCTGCTCTCTATCTGTTATTCCATTAAGTAAGACTGCCAACCTCTGACTGTTAGAAGCTCTATAGTGGACCATGTGCTCGAGCCACAGGGTATACCCTAAGCAAAAGTTGTCCTCACATGTTGTTTTTGGTGCATATTATGACTAGACAGGAAAAAGGTACAATAACACGATGCGAGGGAGGCACTCAATTCTGGTTAGGATCTAAAATAGGCATTTTTATTGGTTATGATGGGAGGTGAAGAAGTGTGAGAGAAATGATGCAGAAAGTCAGGGTGACTGTGTGTTTTGTCTTCTTCTTATGACTGATGCTCTTTGTGAGAGTTCCAATGGTCCCTACAATGGGAAGTACACAAGCCTGTTACCCGCCCTGGTTTTCTCTAACCCACTATCATTTATTCAGCCTATAATGGGACCTGCCAGATTCTTTTACTCAGGTAAACACTCCTGACCTCAGGAATCAGCGTGAGCTGCCTGCTGAGATGCTGTCTTTGCCATTACCACAGAGGCCTCTGCTGTTGTCCCTCCTTGAGTCAATAACGGATGCTACAAATGCCACCTTCTAATGCCAGCACAGAGAATGTGCATAACTGTGACTTGTAACAATGTCATCTTTCTCCCAGTGAATGCAATGTGGCCTTCTACTAGAATCTACATTCACTTATGGGTTGTAAAGTACTGTGAGATAAGCCACAAATGTCCTACTAGACAAAAATAATATATCCTTACAAAATACACACTTTCAAAAATGAATTTGCAAACATCTGTTTATTTTCATAATATCATTCCTATTCACTTGAATTACACAAGGCTCTCTTGAATGGGAAGAAAGGATTGGAGTTCAGTTATCTCTTATCCCAGGTATTATATGTTACACTAGCATTGAGCTACACAAGAAAATATCTTCTGGCACGTGTAGGAAGAAAAAAAAGATTGAGGGTAGATTGGTAGGGATGATATGGTCTCACTTGATAGTTTTGAGTATTTTTAGTTTTTAATTTGATTTTTGTCATGCAAGTTTCTTTTACAAATATCATGTCCTTCAATTCTATTCAGCACTGCAATAAGTACAGGTAAATAATAGTTTATACAGGTAAATAATAGTTTACTCATTTTCCAGGTGAGATAATGGAGACATGGAGATATTTAATGATTCTCCCATATCACATCTTACAAGTGACAAAGGTGAGCTTCCCATTAATTAGTATAATCTTGCTAGCCACATGCACAGGCCTTACTATGTGCCAAATATGCTTTGATGTACTGCTACCATGCTCAGCTGTGAACTCATTTTCATTAAGATCCACAAAGAGGGACAGAGCCAGAAGAAGAACTGGGTAGAATGTAACTTCTCCGTGGTTTCTTTGGCTCTGTAGAAGTTGAATCAAGTAGAGAGTTGGCTTCCTTGGCAAGCTTTGCCTGATGCAGACTGATCTCTTTGTGTGAGATGCCTTTTTTTTTTCTTCTGTCTTCATGTTTGTTAGCTTACTTTGCACTAGAAACTGAAGGACAGAAATAGGAGGGATTTGATGACTTTCAAGCTAAGCAAAACAACCTCAATTTCCTTTTTAAACATAGCACCTCTGACTAATTTTTGCTGTAATTTATCCTGGTAATTTGGAATGTAGAAAAATGAATCAAAAATAACTTTGCTTGAATTACCTCTATTCGCTAATTACCTCACAGACACAAACACAAATCAAGAAGGGGTCATAAAGCAGGTCCTTATGCAGACAAGCAAAAAAAATTTTTTAAAAAGGGTTGCATTTCTTCACTTCAGTTTTGCATTTAACTTTACTTTTGTAATTTTAAAAATGAATTTTTAAAACTTAAATTATCTTAATTTTTAAAATGAGCTGTTTCATGCTTTTAGAGAGCCTCAAGCACCCTTTATTCTTTGTGGTTAAAAATGATATGGAAATATAATAGAATCTGAACTTAAACTGTGACTAAATATGCTTTGGCATTCTACTTCATATGAAGCATTCCTTGATACTCAGTTTTACTTTGTTTTAAAAATACAAACAAAATATAGTAATTTATTAAGTATATAGTACTACAGGCATTTTCAAATAATTGATTCCATTTATTCCAGAAATCTGACTCTTAGGTACTCAATAGCACTATGTAAAAATACAAATCTCAGACCTATGGTAATATTATATATATTTTCTCTTTTAAAGTTAGAGTTAGCCATTTGTCTTTCTTTAGTCATTTAAATAGGGGCAAAAAGGACATATGTAATACTGGGAAGAAATATTTAATTGGATAAACAATTTTTCTTCTCTCACAGGAATCATGAAAACATGGAAATACAACTTTCATAAGCCTGGATCCTTGCATGAATTCCACATGAATCATTAGGTTTTGATAATTATTTGCTACCATTGCATAGATGATCCTCACCTGACTGACAGATCATTTTAATAAGGAAATGAAAAGAAATTAAGTAATTTTTAAAAATTGGCACAACAAAGCTGCAAACCAAGTTTTCTGGTTCTTCTGTCCTGGGTTAATAAGCTCAGTCCAGAAAATGTCCCTCAAGAATCTCAAAATTAAACATCTGATTTAGTGCACGTATAATGTATTCACTCACATACAAAGTATTTCGTTATTGTGATTGAATTGAAAAATTAGAGTCCATGATTGTTGTCAGGTTGAATGCTAAAATAAGCAAAGAATAAATCTACTAACACAAGTCATTTCATGGATAATCAAAACTGTAATTTGTAGCTTTCTAAATATCTGAAGCCGTATGGTCTCTGGGTTACTTAAAGTTAAATTTTTCATCAGACAAGGAACAGTTGACTACAAAGAGGGTAGTTCTACCTAAATTCTTAATATGGGAGATTGAGGAAGGAAATATCAGCCAACAAGACAGTTCCTGGAGCATTCAGGAGTAGATGAGACTTCTGACATAATGGTAAGAAGCTTAGAAACTTCGCTTGCCATGTACATTAATACCCATGGATCTCTGTCACTTGGACATGCTGATCCATGCTTGAGTGAAAATGTACTTTGCACACAGGCTTTTCATTGGAATATACTTTTTAAGATTTCATGACTTTGCAGCCCAGTTTCTTTAGTGCTAAAGAGATTTCTAAAAAACAAATGAGTTAATCATGTTGGCCACTTCAAAGTCACACGGATTTCACACTCAGTTTTCATTTTGTGTTCATTCTTCCTGGTGATGTTTTAATATTCCTTGTTTAACTATCTTTTATATAATTCAAGTTTTGTATTTTTGGCAGCCTGTGTCACACTTCTTTTAAGCTTTAACCAATGCCAACTACTTTATTTCTTTACCTGATGTTTTGCTCATTTCCTTGGTAGACTTAATCTTTCAGGATTTATGGGATATATATATATATATATATATATATATATATATATATATAATTTCTTATTCAAAATAGTCTTAAGAGCAGTATAGTCAAACTCCACTGGAAATAGGAAACACTTTTGTAATATTCATAATTCCTTAAAGTAACAAGATGCTCACAACTCACTTAAATCTTTAATTCTTCAATTTCCCCATCAACTAAATATAAATAATTACTGTTTTCCTCATTTAAATTCAAGGACTGATTTTGAAAACAAATGAAATTGTGTTTCTAAATTTTCTATAGTTTTGTAAAGAGTCATATTATATATATTTATGCTATAATAATCAGACCCAAATACATCTGAGACTTGACATTTAAAGCCATCATGCTAATATAACATTAGGAATGAACTATCATGTTCAATGTTTACTAGAGTTTTCAAGTATTAATAGTAAACGGCAAGTTAATTTCACAAAAGACCCATCAGTCCTGTATGGGTTTATATCTGAAAAAAGCTATTCTGATTTTAAAAACCAGAGCAAAAAAGAAATTTGATTATCTGAGTTAGGTATCAGATTATTTACCATTTCTGGAAGAAATGGTGTTTTATTGAAACATTTGGTGTTAATAAAAAATAGCTAACAGTTCCGATAATGTTTACTATATTTCAATTCTCGGTTGAATATTTATTCCCTTATCTCATTTATTGCAATGTCATTCACAACAGCCACATGAGCTACATATTTCATTTTATCATTCTTATTTTACAAATATGGAAATAGAACCATAAAGTTAATCAATTGGTTCAAGGTAAGCAGAGCTCACATTTTAATTCTGGAGCCCACATTGTTTGCCATTACAATATAACCTTTTGTGATTATTGTTCAAATTTATATAGGAAACTTATTAAAGTATTTCAGGGTAATCATCAAAATCAAAGGCATTATGGCAAATTCTTTACCTTAGATACTTCATTAACAATCCCTGACAGAGTAGAAGAATATAAACGTAATTGACTTGGATCAGAGAGAAAAAGGTGACGATATCATTTAGAGTCGCACAGGCACATCAGATGTATGTTTACTTAAAACTTGATGCTTTGGGTCTCATGGAAAGATTAGAAAGGACATTGCAGTTGAGCTAAAACTTCTTGAAAGCTGTTATATGATAAAAGGAGGATGAGTCTGGGTTCATCCAAAGGCACAAATAAGAACTTTTTAATAATAGTTACGGTGGGGAAACAGATTGGGATACACATGATTATTTAACGTCATTGTATGAACATCTTATTATGCATAGCTTATATGAAGTACTGCTCACAACAGTTCAACAGATATAAAGCTATATCAGAAGTCCCTCTGACTTGTTTTGATAATTATCTGTCTGTAGTGGTTGCAGGAAGCAATTTTACAAAGGGTAAGAACAACCCTGGAAATGGAGGAAACCAGAGTTTCTGAAATTTGTCAGGTAGACTTCTGTAGAATACAAGGCATCTAGCATCCTTAGTGTGAGTGCGCAGTAAAAATATTTAGCGAAATGGTGTTGCTTCTAATTCATAGTTTAGAGTGTTCAAAGCTAAAAATGTGTGAGACAGTTTGATTAATGATATGAAATAAGAAAATGCATGAGAGCCATCTCAACCCAATGGACTGAATCAGACATGAAACCTCAATGAAAATATATGCATCTATATCATACATATCTCTATCATTTTGTTCCCCCCAAATCATCTGGGCAATAAAGGTGCATAGACTTGAAGCATCAGGCAGCCAGAGAGTCTGTGTTCATACTGAATTCCCAAAAGCTAGCATAGAAACTTTTACCTAGTAGGCCTCGGTAAACAGTTGCAGAATGAACACAGTAAATGTAATTGTCATTCCCAGGAATTGCATAAAAAGGATGATTCAGAGTGAACTGAGGGGATTCAAGTTACAGGATTTCTGGGTGTATTCTAAATCTTTCCTGTCATTTATACTTTGACTCCAAAGACTTACGTTTACAGTGCCAGGCAATTGGAGGTAAGTGGCCCAGATATTTCTGGTTAAAGCAGCAGGGCTACTCATGTAGCCTAAGGGAAGAGCCTTTTGCAGTTAGATCTGAGCTAAGTTGCATTTCTGGAATGCCCCATTTTCATGAAAAGAGGTCTGCATTGTAACTTAAACACAGTATGGCAACACTGGTGAACAGACTTCTGAATTTAACAGCTTTCTCAAAAATTAAGAACACAGAACCAGACGGCCTGCAGGATACCACTGAGAGAATATTCATAATATCTAAACAATTGAATGTCAGTACTAATAACTGATTCTTTCTGGGATTCATTCTTTCCCAGCAACAAAAAAAAAAAAAAAAAAGAGAGAAACCCTTTATTCATACTATCATGGGTCCTTCTTGTGAAACATTCCATGCTGTATTAACATGTTGTGGATGACATTAAAAAAGTTTGTAACTCTGGATTAACTACTGGACACTTGGGTGATGGTTACCTCACATTTTTTCCATTCCTTCCTATCCCCACTTGACGTGTTCCTAGCTTGCAGTAAAGTATGTAACAATAAAATCAAGCCAAGTGCTTTAAAGGGAGGTGAAAGCCTGCTGGTTGGAATGACTGACTAGTAATGGTACAAGTCGCCTGTTGTCAGAAAGTTCTGTTCTTTTTTTTTTTTTTTTTTGTCTTTATGAGACAGGGTCTCACTATGCAGTTCAGGCTGGCCTTGAGCTCACTTTCTAGCCCAGGCTGGTCTCGAACTCACAGCAATCCTCCTGCCTCAGCCTCCTGAGTCCTGGGATTACAGGCATGAGCTACCATGCCCGGCTTTTTTTTTTTTTTTTTTTTTTTTAAATCGGTACTGGGGATCGAACTCATGACTGCCTGCTTGCAAGGCAGGCGCTTATGCCGCTGAGCTAAATTCCCAGGCCCCAGGCCTGGCTTTTAACTTTTTTTTTTTTTGAAAGTTCTGTTCTTATTGTCTCTCCTCCATTTGATTTTTAAACATGTGAAGTTGCAGAGAAGAAAACATTTTATGTTTCCACCTTGTGAAAGGAGGCTGACTATAAATAAAACAGGATATTCTTCCTTATATATTATCTCTGCCTTGAATGTTATAAATGAGAAAACGCTGCAGGGAAATCAAACCAAAATAAAATTTAAAACTCAGGGCACTAGATATTCAATACACAACTATGTTGATTGCAAACGGAACTCTAACTGGTGATGTCTTTGCCGAATGAATATCCGGGACTGGGAAGCAACACCCCAGCAATGCTTCAATAATGCAAAATATTGTTATAACACAAAGAAAAATTCAAGGGAAGCCACTTGATCAATCTAACCTGCTGTGGCATGCTACCCATATTGTGAGTGGGATTCACTACCCCCATGAAACTCCAGAATATTCACATCATTCCCTTCAGGATAAACAGATTAATCAGTGAACAACTAATTAGTGAATTACCTATCAGACATACAAATACATAGCACTATAGTAAATCTAGGCAAGCCACACCAAGATAAATGCTTTAATTTGCTCTAAAAATCAACTGCGCTGCTCTCATAATGTAATTTTACAGGACACATAAACTCACATCAGTGATTGATTTTCAGTCATAGGAATTTGAAAGCTTTGATTGAAAATGTTCTAAACATTTTTAATCCTTCTTTCTTCTTATCTATAACAGTAAAACTGAAAATAAGCACTTATACGACCTGGCCAAATATTTAGATAAAGAATGAGTCCATAACCAGCAATATCTTAAAATGTGTTTGAGTTATTCTATATGCTATTTAAATAGTTAAACTGTCAGCCTGGGATTTTGTATATATTCCTCATTAGGTTGCCTCAAAGGCCCCAGGGTAGGTATATCTGCATTTTAAAATTTTGTATTTTTCCATGGTTTATATATCCCATAAAATACTTTGAGAACTTTATGAGGGATGTTACATTAATATGTGTTATTATAAATATGATTTAAATATCTAAAGCATTACAGAGTGATTACTGTTCAATAAGGCAGCGTGCATAAAAGGGTTATCTCCACACTGTGCTTAGGTTTCTACAATATAATATAATGAATTGTTCAATATAGTTTGCATGCTATTTGTCTCTGTTTCTTCCTGGGCTCGAGGGAAGCTGATGTGCAATGCTCTAACAAGGCGATCATAAATTGCAGAACAATAAACAGCCCTTGAGATTTTTAGAGAGTTTGTGGTTAGCATGCAATCCATCTTGGGAAACTTGATTTAATACCTCAAAGGAGCATTTCTGACAATGCTCAACATTGTTTTAAACTGCTGCTAAATCAATTAGTGCATTGGAGAACCCTCATGTCTCTGCCTTTTTCATAGCCCATCCCAAGTATTCTGGTTGGTTATTTTGTAAAGACAGAGATTTAAGCACCAGTATGCAGATGCACTTGCGTTCCCTGGAAAACATTAGAGATAATCCTGCATGAAAGGAGAGAGCAGGCAGCTTCCCTAAATCATCAAGATCTATGTGGGTGTCATCTCCAAAATTTACTTCAATTTTTCTGAATTACCCTTCTATGGTCAAGAACTATGAAGCTAACTACAGAAAAAAAAAAAAGACAAAAAAAACGTCTTAAGAGACAAGTTTTGTTTTGTTTGTTATGCTTTGTTGAACATATTTTCTCTGGTATATATAAAGTGTTTTATGAGGATATTGATATTATAGAGGGGAAAATGAAAATATTTATAGGAATTATTTTACTTTCATAAGTTTATACTTGTAAGGTAGAAACCAAACTTGAAGATCAACAATATCCAGTCCTTCTAATGGAGATAATATAAAATATGTCTTAGTTCATAATCAACAATTCAACTTTTTATGATACATAATTCAGTCCTTTATTTTTGCTCCACTAAATGTGGAATAACAATCACTATGCAAAAAGGAAAATCGTAACTTATTCCCAAATTATATGATTTCCCCTTATTCCTTTTATTTTTCCTCATTCATGTAGATAATTCTCAGACAATGCTTTGTTTTTCTTTCATATTCTTAGTATGACTCTGTTTTTGCAGTCTCTCACAGACCTAGTGAGCCCCTGTTCCATGAAAGGCTCCTTCACACACCTTGCTGTGGATTGAGCCTCCTGTGAGACCCCTCAACCACTCAACCACTGTCATTCCTTTCAGGGCAATTTCACTCAATTTACATAACCACAGCTAAGTGACCTGATTAAGAAAAGAACGAAAGTGAAAGAAAGAGGTTATTAGTCCAACTCACTGAATATCTTTAATTTTTTTTAATTAAAAATTTTTTACCTAATTAAAAACAAATAACAGTAACTGTTTTGGTGATGAGTAAACAGAAACCAATGCTTTCCTCTGCCCAAGGTGAGTTTCCTCCAGCAAAACAAAAACAATCAAACAAACATAGGGTTTATATCTCTATTATTTGCTTCAAAGATACAGTGTGTATGATTTTTGTGGCAATAATCTGAGCCCCACATGTAATCAAAAGTCCAACCACTTCAGCTTCCCTGTGCAAGGGGAAGTCATGGGAAAAAGACTTTTTTTTTCTTTCCTCCACAAATAATCAAAAGAGAATTTAAATATTTAAACCTGATTCATTATTCAGAGCCTGGTTGAAGTTCATTTGTCTAACACATAAGTGCTATGGACAATATCACATTTCATTTTACAATGGTATTTCTAGGAAAAGTGAAATATATTTAAACAGTTTCTAAATTTCTTTAATCTCTAGCTTCATTCTATTACTTTTTTTTGGGGTCCTTAGTATCCTTGAATGACAAATTATAACGTAATTGAAAATAATTATCTAAGTTTTTGATATTAAATATATATATTTGGTCCTTACCACAGTGCTAATGGTGGGCTTCAGGACCTGACACCCCAAAACATAGCACCTTTGGCTTTGAGAAAGCAGCATGGTCAAGACAATATTTTCCTTTTCCTTTACTTTCTTCCTTGAACCATGTCATAAAACCTGGAAGAGTCCCTCTGACCTTCTCCTGTCTTTCTTTCTTGAAGCAGGTCATGAAACCCTTGTTTGAGAACTACACTGCCTTTACCTGGAGGAGAAGAGCATCCTTGCTTCTTACTGCATAAGGACACACAGAGAGAAACCGAAACCAATAGGCCGGGCTAAATTACTGGCAGTTTATTGACATTGGATCATACTCTCTTTGTTGACTCACACTGCTTCATGAGTAATCCATTGACCATGTTTTCATCACTGTGACAAAATATCTGACATAAACAACTTCATGACAATTTAAAGGAGGAAAAGTTTAGTTTGGTTCCCAGTTTCAGAAGTACTGGCGCTATTGTGTCTGGGTCAGAACATCATGATAAGAGAGTGTGTGGTAAAAGAAATCAGCTCACCTGATGGTGTACAGGAAGGCAGGTGAGCAGGAGATGGAAAGGGAGAGGAAGAGGGAGAAGGAGACACTGGAATCTCACCACATCCTGATGCTTCTCCGCACTGTATTAGTCAGATTTTCATCACTGGGACTAAGTATCTGGTTACACACAACTAAAAGAAGAAGGCTTTACTTTTGCATATGACTTCAGAGGCTTCAGTTCATGGTCAGCTGACTCCAAAACAGAAGCATCAAGGCAGTAGGGCATGGCAGAGCGAAGTTGGTCAGTCCATGGTGGTCAGAAGGCAGGGCAGAGAACCAAAGTCAGAAAAGAAGGGACCAAGAGCCAGACACAGTACCCAAGGTTACACTTCCATGACCCATCCATACACACTTGGAAGTGTGATTTACCAATTCATAGATGGCTCCCAAGCTAATCAAGCTAAAAATCCAGATTAACTGTTAGAAAAGGCATATCCAGTCCACATCCTTCCAGGTAGGCCTCACCTCCTGAAGTCCCCACTGCTTCCCAATTAATACCACCAGCTGCAGCCAGAGCTTCAATGCATGAGTCCTCTGAAAACACACACACACACACACACACACACACACACACACACACACACATATATATATACTTCCTTATTTCTTTGGGTCATTTCTGATAACCCTTATATCACATAAAACTTGTATTAAATAATTGCATTTACTTCTTTCAGGATTTTTAAATTTTTGGTTTTTTCCTTTTTATTGTAGGACAAAATAAAAAAAATTTATATAACCAAATGATAAGAGCATAACAATCATTATTATAGTTATCTTCAAAGTAGTGAGTATAAAATAATATTAAACAATAAGATCATTCTGTCTTCTGCATGTAGTGCAGTTTGTCAGATATTATTTTCATTTCATTAAGTAAAAATGGAGTTACAAAGTGGAAAAGTATCCAAAAGTACTGGAGAAATGTGCCAATTGAATATTTTAATAACGTTTACAGTGTTTTAATTGGAAAAAGAGGCATATGGTAAAATTTAAGAAAATGTTTTTATATTAGCGATCCTTTAAAAAAATATCCAAGGATGCATTCTTGCACTTTTTCTGTTTGTCTTTCTAGGTATCAATGAAATTTTACTATACTTTGGCCCTTGCCAAAGTACTTACAGTTGTAGTTTAGTGTAGTAATCCTTAATACATGAAGTGATTCTGATCACAAAACTGGTTTCAGTAAATTCCATACTATCTTTCCTAGAACCAAAATAACTTCTTCCTTGTGTCCAAACCTTTCAGTGATTTAAAAATCTTAACAGGAGTCACACAGCAGGGTCTCAATAGTTAGTCACTGTTTCATCGATTATTATAGAAACCACTCTTGTTCAAAACACAAACTCTCAAGATATAAGGGGAAAAATGATATGGCAGAGCTTTCTTTCTGTCATTTTCTTTCAGCAAGGATCCTATCCAAGTGTGTTTTCTTCAATTTTCTCCTTTTACCTCATTCAGACTTTTTCTACTACGGTTGTTCACATTTTTAAGTAATCAGAGCTTAGGACTTGGTTTGTAAGTTACTCTGGTCCACTATTATTTTTATTTCCTAAAGCCAGCCACATGAACACGGGTCAAAAGGTGTCACTTTGGGATCCAGAGACTACACAGTTTCAGATATTTAGAAATCTGCAACATTAAAATTTTGCTTATCTATGAAATAATTTGTGCTAATAGATTTGGTCTTGGTGATTATCTAAAGAGCCCTCCTGAAAAGAAAATTTGAAAGATGTATTCTCACTCGTATCTTTAAAATATATATCTATTCTCTTCCAAATTGCTGCTTTCAAAAAACTTTTCTTAGTCATTAAGTGATAGTTGCTACACATAGAGATAAAATGTGGAAACAGTTACCAATTTTCTAATTGTGGCTAAAGGATTGTAATTCTTAATTATTTCAAGAAATGTATTACTTAAACAGAAGCAGCTATATTAATGAAGACAGAGAAAATTGATTCTCTCAGAAAAGCTAGGAAGGCTTTATAGGACAGGTAGTTTTGAGTTTGGTGTACAGTGTTAGTATTAGGTTATGCAAAGGCTTGAGTGCTATACTAAAGCACTGATTTTATTCTGTGAGACATTTTAAAGATATGGAAAGGTAAGATCTAAATATTTAATTCATAATTTTTTGATCATTCTCTATTTTCTATTCATGAACTTTTAACAATTTGACAGTTATATAATGATATTTTATGATCCTATAACAGAAAATTTCTGTCTCTTTGGCCTTTCATGAAAGCAGAAACTAGAACTTAAAATTCAAGGGAACTCCGTGATGGATTACAAAACCAATGCCATCTGGGAACATAGCGCAGTTGTACAGAATATAGAGTTAGATCATGCCACTATAAAACAAAACCAAAGCAAACATGAGTATATAATTTTATCAGAAAAGTTAGCCTTTAATGGATGATATTTTAAAATGAGCTTTGATAGCTAGGTATGGTGGCTATGCCTTTAATCCCAGCACTTAAAAGGCTGAGGCAGGAGGAATCATGAGTTTGATGCCATCCTGGGTTACATAGTGAGTTCAAGACCAGCCTTGACTATTTAGTGACACCCTACCTCAGAAAAACAAAACAAAACAGAACAATAAACTTTAATAAATAACATGAAGACATGTTTAAATGAAGATGAATCCTAGCCATCTGCCTCACACAAGAACTTTTGCCACTTTACATATCTTTCTCGGGGACTTGGCACACAATATCAATGTCAAAATGAGTTACTCTAAAACTATTTCATTATTAATCCCCAAATTTTCTTAATATATGTTAGGTGCCACTTTTAGTTATGCAAGACTAGTGAGAAACACTCACAGAGGCTGAGAGCAGTTATAAGCAAGCTTTATTGCCTGCAGACAGAGTCCCACCACACGAGGAGCTTCAACCCCAAGAAACACAGTTTATATACAGTTAGTCTAGTTTCTAAAAATAGCAGGTACTTTCCAGAGAAGTGGTGCACAGATTTTATCCCATTTTGTGGACTCATATGACAAATCATGGGGTGATTTTGATTAACTAGGCATTTTAGTATTTACGAGAAACAGAAACTTGAGGAAAGAGAAATTTAAATCTAAAATGATGAGGTTCAGTTACATCATTCCCCGCTCAGGGACACTGTCCTCCAATCAGGTGAGCGAAGTGTTCTTTAAATTGTTACAAATGTTAGTCTTTTGGAACTTCAGCTATCATCAGGATCTCCACTCGGTCTAATTCACTTTAGACTTGGTCTACTCCAGCTCAGAATTTCCCTGGGTTCCATTTAATGACACAAGATCCAACATCCAACCAGAAGCAAGACCATAATGAATACAAAAGTATTAGCCAAACTTATGAGTAAAGTCTAGGGTTTCCGATGTATAGGTGGGCATATCACCCTGGAAATGTGAGGACACTGTGAATGAGGAGACTGCCCTGGAGCACTGGTACTGGGCAAACAAGAGCAGGTGGAGGGAATCCTCCTGTTGGGCTGTTGGCCTTGCCATTCCCAGAGTCATTTTTCAGTTCTCTGGCATTTGTCAGTCAACCTCTCTGGTGACTGATCTTCCTTCTCTTACAAGTATGTTGAACTCTGTATTTCAAAGGAAGTGGAACCCTTCCTCTCCAGGTATAAATATAGGCAGTGTCCATTAGTGCATAGTAATCCTTTAAATGTTCCTCTTCATACACGACATCAATCTCCTCCTTAGATTTCTCTTTGTATTATTTACATTGATCCCATCTGTTTTGGTCAAAGAATTGAAAGGATAAGCTTATTGATCTCACCATCATCAGTTATAATATTCTTCTCTTGATCTGCAACTTCTCCTCTATCTTCATTAGAGCTATTGACAGCATCATTTGAAGGATGAGTTGCATAAAAATCCCTTCTCTTCCTTTCATTTTTAAAAAGCCATGGAACTAATTCATATATGATATCTTGAAGTGTTTTATTTGACCTTATATTCAGTAGTGGTCTGGTTTTGTGAACTTGGACATCACAGATAAGACAGTCTTTGCTGGTCTCTAGGCAACCTACAATACATGTTTTACAGAAGGAATATAGACATTCTATTATGGTTGTGGCATCAATTAAGTACTCTCCACAAAAGCATACACAGTAGGTAAGAATTTAGCTCAGTCATCTTGATTCTGGTTGTTCGATTCATTTCTGCTTGATAAAAGATCCTAAAAACACAGAAACATTGGCCATGATTTAAAGAAACAAATTCAAGATTATTTTTAACTCCTGTTTGTTGGGATCAGCTTGATGGGTAAAGTGACAAGGAGGAGTAAGATGATGCTGCACACAGCTGACCCAAAGCCACCAATGGAACCTGATCGCCAGATGGTGTTGACTCAGTTTTGATTCATCACTTGGCACTGGAGTGATGGACCCACAGAGCAAATACTGAAACTTTAAGTGTAGTAAATGTGGTTAGTATGTATGGCCCACCTCACATTGGTTGGAGGGGTTCCTCCTTCCAAATTTTAACTAAGACTTTGTCTCCTGGTTCAAGAGAATGAAAAGAATGAATTGTAATGAGATGTTGTTCCAACACAGTTTGCTGGAGATCCTTTAATGTATAGTGCGTGCCTTAATATGTTAGCACAAGTTCAAAGTTACCATCTCTTGTAATCCTTCTAAACAGGTAAGAGTGGAGGAGATCACCCAAACATTATTTCAAAGGGAGTTAGCCCACCCTGGTATGAGGTGCAATATGACAGGAGGAGTGCCACAGGAAGCATTAAAACCAAGTAGCTTGGTCTCCTGGTAGAACTTCGCCAAGGTGTTTTTCAGAGTGTGGCTTTCTTTCTCCATTTGGTTTGAACTCTGGGATTGACAGGCTTTGTGTAGCTTACATTTTAGTCCCAGGGCTTGTGAAAGGCTTTGAACAACTCTGCATAGAAAAACAGGTCAATCATCTGAACACACCATTATGGGGACCATACTGGGCTATAATGAACTCCATCAAAGCTTTTATAATTTTTTTTTTTAGATATTTCAGTCCTACTAGAGATAGTCTGTACCCAGCCTGAATAGGTGCATAGCAGAATTAGCAAATACTTTTTTGCTTCCACTGGTGGGTTTCATTTCAGTAAAATCTATCTCAGCATCTTCAAAGGACAAAGTTCCTTGTCTCTGGATACCCAGTTGCTGCTGGGGCCAAGAGATAGAATTATTGTGGGCATAGGTTGTACACCTTGCAGTCACTGAAGTGCATGAAGTCCAGAGTCTGGGCACAAAAAAATGATGACCAAGAAATTGTGCCATAGCAGTTTTGCTCAAAATGGGAGCAGCTTTGTAAATCCTATATCACAAAATATACCAGCGGCTCAGAATGGACAGCCCATTAAAGAGTGATGACTCGCATTCCCACCATCTGAACCCTGTTGATTACCATGTTGCTGCTGTCTGAAAACAGTCCCGTGCCAGTCATGTTCTGTGGGTCCTGTCAAGCCAAGTAGACCATCTCAATTGCTTTTGTACAATCCTATTCAGGTGGCTCCACAGGCACAGGCTTAGATTAGTGATTTGTATAAGTGGGTGGGGTTGCAGGAATGTGACTATAACTCAGTTAACTGAATTGTTCTAAAAATGTGTATCATAATAGAAAGGAAAAGGAGTGGAAACTTCAGAAGGGACAAGCAAAAGTGTTAGCAGCAGCTTTTAAGGAGGTGGCCTGATCAAGAGCCAGAGACATA